TAAAGTTGAGAAAGTAAAAATTAAGTACATTTAAATATTTGAAGGAGGACATAGAAAGTTTTGAAAGGAAAACACTTGTAAGACTTGAAAGAAAAAAAATCAGATAAAAATTTGAGTGAATGTTACCCTTGGGGGAAAAATATCACACTAGATGAAACTCATTCTTATAATGTTTTTGTGCGACAAAAATCTCCTGTAGATAAGTCAAAAGTTGGAAAAAATTCATGTAAAAAGATGCTATTTTACTATTTTAGGTTTTATGAATTTAAAATTATGGGCTCCCAGAGGGACTGGAAATTGAACATGGATGCCTATGAAAAAAGAACCCACCCACAGCAGTGGCCTGTTCTAAAATTTGTATATAATTTTTTAAAATTTTTTGAATTAGTTTTGACTTTCACATGTAAGAAGAAGACTTAAGAGTCCCATAAAAATCTTATTTACACTTTTCATTTTTTAAGGGAAAAAATATGGGAAAACAAAAAAAATGGAAACAAAATTTTGTAAATACAGAAGGGAGGAGGGGATGAAGGGAGTGCAGAGGTACAAGGAAAAATGAGAACCAAGACCTGTCATGTAAAGGTACAAGATCCCAATGATGAATGTAACTGTACTGTATACCTAAAATGTACCAATAAACTCAATGAGAGAGAGAAAAAAAAGAGTTCCATTAGATAGCAGGTATTTGTTAGGCTAAAAAGAGTTGCTCTATAGGAAAAACATCATACAGCAGTTCAGTCCATAAACATCAGAACAGAGTTGATAAGCATATCATGCTTAGTATTTAAGACTTAGAATGGTCATATCTTAAAATTAGAACCACATCGATGGGTTAAAGAAATTGTCCAAAGAAAATGACACTAAACGTACACAAATTTCAAATGGTATCCAGGAGCTCTCTTTTATACTGGAACAAAATACACATATTTGTGACAAAGACAACCAAATGCAACATCTCTGCAAGGTACCATGTACACAATCCAATTTACAGTAAAAAAATGACCAGAATGAATTAGGAATATCAAAAATAAAGAAAAAAAGTTGAATATATAAGTGAAAAAGTAATAAATATGTTAGATTGAACAGAAAAGAATTTTAAAATATGTGATAAATTGCCCACCATGATATTCTGGTCTAAATGCCAAGTTTGATGTGATTTAAAGAATAGTGCACCGATAATTGTTATGCGAGATTGCCAGAGATGTGCCACTGTAACTAAGGTCCGTATTTGTGGTTTACTTTTGTTTCAAATTGGAGGATGTTTTTGGATAAGACTACAATTAAACTGTATACATTTTGAGTAAATAAAATCACCATCCATAATGAATGAGCCTCATCCAATCAATGAAAAACCTGGAAAGAACAAACAAACAAATCACAATGCTTCCTCAAGCAGAGAAGATCTCTCCAGCAGCTCCCATCCTGACAATGTGTACCATGGCTTCTCTGGGGTTCTGGTCAGCTGTACCTTCAACCTGCTAATAGGTAGTGAAAATCTGAATTTCCTGTCTGCACAATCAGAGGGGTCAATACTTTATATTTCTGGGTGATATTAGTGAAATAAACATTTTATTTTGAGTGGCTCACAAGGAATAATTAGCTTCATGGGCTGAATCAAAGAGGTCATCACATTAGGAAGAACAGACTTCTCTGGTGTCAGCAAAGCATCTTGGTGCACAAGGGTTTGGCAAACCAGCTTTAGCTTTCTGCTTTCCAGACAGATAACCACATGCAAGGTCTGGAGAGCAGCTCTAGGGTTTGAATGGGTTCTTTGAAACTTGGATATGAAGCAGACATTGGCATTGCAAGACAGGAAATTTAAAAGAACTAATTAGCATGCTAAGGGTTAAAATGGAAATAGTATGAAACATATACTGGACAGCTAATGTCAGCAGAGAAGAGAAAAACAGAAATAATCTGAAGGAAATTGTAGACTTTATAAGCATTTTAATAAATGCAGAGAAAATTTTAATAGATTCATCAGTACACCACATATGGTCAAAGGTGAATTCAATGAGCTTCAATTGTTCCATAGAGACTTCTCAAATTAAAATTAGAAAAAAAGAAAAAGAAAACAAATAGAATGAAACATTCAATAAAATATGACAATTTCAAATAGTGTACAACATGTAAATTTACAAAACTACAAGGAAATATTTGAAATAATAATGACCAAGAAATTTCCAATATTAATATAGTAAAATGAAGAGTTTGAAAGGTTAGAAAACATCAAAGGAAATAAGTAGCCTTAAAAATGCAAACATCTCCATGTGTTATGCAGAAAATCAGTGACAGATAAAATCTGGGAATCTTGAGGAAAAGAAAATCTTGCTTGGTTGAACAAAGTAGAGGAAGAGACATTACGAAAGCAAGAATCTAGTGCAGTGATCTAAACTGTTAAAAGAAACAGGCAAGGAAGCAAAGCTAGGGTAAGAAAAAATTATTTCCAAAAGTGTATCAAATTAAAAAGCATCAACATAGGCCAGAGATTTAGCAGAAGAAGAAGAAGAAAGAAGAAGAAGAAGAAGAAGAAGAAGAAGAAGAAGAAGAGGAAGAGGAAGAGGAAGAGGAAGAGGAAGAGGAAGAGGAAGAGGAAGAGGAAGAGGAAGAGGAAGAGGAGGAGGAGGAGGAGGAGGAGGAGGAGGAGGAAGAGGACGAAGAGGAGGAAGAAGAAGAATAGGAAGAGGAAGAAGATGAGGAGGAGGAAGAGGAGGAAAGAAGAGGAAGAAGAGGAAGAAGAGGAAGAAGAAAAAGAGGAGCAAGAGGAGGAGGAGGGAGAAGAATGCATCAGAACAGCAAGGAAATAATCAACCAAATGGAGAGAAAACTAAGAGAATGAAAATAAAAAATTGCCACCAAACTCCTCTGACTGAGGTCTACTGTGTAGAATATGTAAAGGACTCAAAAAATTACTCCCCTCAAAAAAGTGTCTTTTAAAAAAGAAGTACAAATCACCAATACATACATTTAAAACAATCATCATCTTTGGCCATTAGAGAAATGCAAATGAAAAGAACACTGAGATTCCATCTTTCTCCGAAAAAGAATGACTATCATCAAGGACTCAAATAACAAGTGCTGGTAAGGACATGAGACAAAGAGAACCTTAAATATTTCTTGTGGGCATGTTGACTAGCACAACCGCAGTGGGAATCAGTATGGAGACTCCACAAAATCCTAAAAGGAGAAATTGCGATAGTCTCAGCCATTCCCTTCTGTGTGTCTCCCCAAAAGCGTTAAAGGCACAGTGGGTGCATGCATGCCTATATTCATAGCAGCACAAATAATACTAGCTAAGTCTTGAAAGTGACTTCTCTACCCCTCAACAGATGAATGGTTAGAGAAAATGTGCCATATACACACAATGGAGTACTGTTCAGCCACAAAAAAGGGTAACTTTGAGTCATTTGTGGGAAAATAAATGTACCCTGAGGTCGTAATGCTAAATGAAATGAATCAAACACAGAAGGTAAAATGTCATGTGATTTTCCTCATACAAAAAAAAAAATAACCCACCAAAGTATAAATAATTTAAATGCAAAAACAAAAGATTCATTATAAGGGAACAGGGAAGTAGATCTTTTACAGAGGGGAAGGGAATCTGGGATGGAGGCAGAGGGGATTGTGGGTAGGGGAAGGAGAAATAAAAAAAATCAAGAATATGTACCAACCTTCAGGATGAATATATTCATTATTTATTGCAAAAATGTACAAAAAAAAGAGAAATAGAGCTCAGCTCTTCAAGATGATTTAGCAATCCTAAACATTTATGGAATTAAAAACATAGCATCAAAATTCATTCAAATTGGTATAATTAATGTAGAAATAAAGATATAGTCACTATTATAATCTTCAACAACCTTCTGCCAGTAATTGATAAAGTAGACCAAACATTGGCAAGTTTATAGCTGAATTGTACAGCACTATTACTTTAATTGACAATTACAGAATACTCTGGCAAAATATATGTTCTAAAAAATTGTGGTACATTCCAGTAACACACAAGGGGATATTATTGAGCAATAAGAAGTGAACTGTAATTGGCCCGTTGTGGTGGCACATGCCTGTAATCCCAGCACTCAGGAGGCTGAGGCAGGAGGATCATTGTGAGTTCGAGACCAGCCTGGGCTACATAGTGAGTTCCAGTTCAGTCTCAACTACCTAGTGAGACCCTCTCTCT